CCCCCCCCCCCCCCCCACAAACAACTGTGTGTCATAAAATACAACAGCAACTTACATTTGGAAATGTTCTTGATATGGTAAAAATGTAACGGAAATATACAAGACACAAAATACTTCCTACAGATAACACAGAAAACTAGTACCAGGTAACCGAAATAATTTTCTACAGAAAAAATTGCTACTTCCCCCCCGCCCCACTTGCAATGTCCCATCCCCCTTCTTTTTGTTGTTGAAAGGCTTATGTTAATGTTCTAGCCCCTGTGCATCACAACCCTCTGCAAGGGGGACCGGATCAGTGGGAATTTCGCCCTACAGTTTTACACCGCAGTCGAAATGTGTCATGCAAAATATAATAAGCCCATCATTGTGACTGTTCCCCTCTATCTTACAAACCAAAGCCCCCAGGAAGGCTCCCGGCTTTTATACATATACAGAAAAGAAGTTAACGGTCATTTCCAAACGAATCCACGTGCCCACATATGACGGCATTCTGCTCTGGCATTCAACGCGTACCGATTTCATCCCTCCAGCTGCCTGCAGCGTTACATACGGGATAACGGTCGAATTATGTGACCCAACTCATCTCTCACACTCGTTATGTCTAACGAACCCTTCTGTCGGTGGTTGACTGACAAAACATTTGTATTGTCTGATTATTATTACGCAACACTGAATCTAAGAAATTGCCGGGGAAATTTATTTTCTCAGGCGGCTTTTCTTTTGTTATTGATCTAAGACTTAATGCGAAGAAATTAAACTCTGTGCGGTCTTAGAATGAAATGCTTGTCTTCTGTTTATAACCCTGTGCAAATAATTAAACCCCTAATAAGTCGGCCGAGCGAATCTCCTTTTGACACCTCAGAATGCTCGCGTCGTATTTAGCACACACATATACACACTCAACGTCATAAACACTGTTCTACATGAAGATTTCTGTCTTCTGGGTTGTTGCGCTGTGTAGTATGACCTCCGAAACGTTGGTAAACATCGACCATACTACTCAGCGCAACAACCCAGAAGACAGAAATCTCCATACTACAAACAAGTCAGTGTTCGTATTAGGGCCTTTTAGATGTCTGCAGCCTAAAGAAGTCGTATTTTATTTCAGGGTTCTAACACAATACACATGTTCAGAATGGCATTAGCATTTTTCCATTCTCACGGTTACAATTTCTGAATCGGAGAAGCGGGGTTTTAAATACATGGTGTTAAATATCCAACAGACGACAGGATGCATCGTCAATGAAGGTGAGACGGACGGGTCATGTAGCACGCATGGAAGCGTAAGATATTCACAAATTTTAGTCGGAAAACCTTAGGGACCTAGGTGTAGATTCTGAGGATAATATTAAAACGGAAGTTAAAGTAATATGGTGTGAGGATGTTAACTGGGATCAGCTAACTCAGGATGGGTTCCAGTGATGGGATTTTGGAAACACGGTGTTGAAATCTGAATTCCCCGATTGCAATATTTCATAAATATGATTCCGCCTCATGTCTGGAATGAGGCAGTGACATGGAAAGCCGGTCTCATGCAGTGTTAAATCGAGAGTCACTCATAAGCTGACTCTTCGGAATGAACAAAGACGACTATGAATTACGCAACGGTCTCTTTATTGCCTATATCTTGCGACATCCCACATAGTTGAATAAGCCAGAGAAATGTAGCGGAGTAAGAGAGCACAGTGATCTATTTTCAGTGTTCTATTCAGAACGGAATCTTACGCCATGCAGCTAATCCTCCTTCCAAAGACAGCAGCTACTCGCTGCGCTGCTGACATCGACAGAGTAAATTTGTGGTCTGTGTTGTGAGTGCACATATGTTTCGCAGCTCACAATGTTAAGCGGGTCCCTTGTCCCTTGTCCGGCATAACACGTCCTCAGGTTGGAGATGCAGAAGACGAATTCGAGATATGGAGGTAACTGCAAATGAGCAGTCGCAAACCTCCGACAACTGGCGGTCTTCCAAATTCGGGGGTCTGGCGACGGCTATAAACTCAGTAGGATCTGAGGTTTTCACGGCGGCAAAGCTGAAGATGGCTGTCTTCTGGGCTGTTGCGCCGTGAAGAATGGACCTCTGAAACGTCGGTAAACTTCTACCTGACTACAAGGCGCAACAACTCAGAAGACAGGCCATCTTCGCTAATATCTGCGCGCTGTAAAATCCCAGCACGTTAAACAGTGATCCACAGGGCCTTGGACTTGGATGGATCCTTTGAAATAAACGAAGCAGCGGAAAACTGAGAAATCGGAGCATCAAACCATTTAGTATTGGTCTAACCTTTCTGAGGAATGTGTGCTATTAAATAGACATATTTTTGGTATTTACGTTCGTTTCGCTTTTGGTTAGGGATGCACATTAGCTCATCTAAATAATCCAGCAGAATAAGTGACAATTTTACCTGGTGACGGAAGCAGAGGCGGCATCAGAAACGTATTTTGACCACAACAGTATGACGGAAAATATCCAAAATGTGAATCAGTATTGTTGAGCAGTGAAGTGCAATAAATTGCGATAACCTGATCATGTAATTGGAAGGGAAATATAATAAATTGTTGGGAGAGCCTCTGGTGAAACAGCCACTTGAAACACACGGGACGAAAATCGCATGGTACTAATTTTGATGATGACAAAATCAGTTCGGATGACCATGTCAAGAGGGTCTCTGATACGTCGGACGCTTGCGCCAAACTGACGCCCGAGAGAATTTTCTCAATGCCAAACATACAAATGTAGCTACGTGCAGAACTGTTTCATCTGTTAACGTCTGCTCCAGACAGGGAATTCCTTGAACGACGGGGGACAATTACAACAGCTCTTGGTGCACTACATGAATCTGTTGTTAAGTTTGAACAATACAGAAACAGAAGTAATGTGACACTTTAAATGGCTTCGAAGTAGTTCTACATGAAATATGTCATTACGTTCAAGAAACATTAGTCTAAAGACTTGCTTCTTTCAGGCCACGTGAAAGACACTCGACACACAACCATCGCTAAAAGTACAAATATCTGAATACGTGAATATAATCTTATATTGTGTTTTATTCCACTCTAATCTGTTCTATTCATTGTTAGTTCCATCTAGACAACATTATTACAATGTATCACTTTATTACAATACGTTTCAACATGTTATCTCATCTTCAGGCCATATTTAGTATACTAAACCTACACAGCACATAATAAACAACATTAACATCACTGAGAACTTGTGGGGGGGGGGGCCCCAAAGATCCACACACCTTGGAAATGCTGCCGTATGGTCAGATTCTAGCTTATGCAACTTTATCCCTGGGTAAATATGGCGATTGGTTTTGAGACCAGGTTAATCACAAAGCATATCTGGACCTGGCAGTGCCTTTCAGGAACAGAATCCTCTTTACCCAGAGATCAGCCAGTCACTTGTCAGGTAGTTTCTGAAGAAGCTCTAGTCACAGCTGTGATTCCATCACATGGACGGCGAACAGTGTAGGCAAATTATTTATTTACATTTATTTAACGAGACTGACAATAGCTTAGATTTTATAGCATGGAATGATAAAAAGATAAATGAAAAATTAATTGGAACGGATGTGGAAAGATATGGCAGGCGTGCTATCCCATCGGCATTTGCCTGATGGCGTCGCAAAGTCTCCACCCCACGACATCTTGGATCACTTCATATGCATGTGCTCGTATTTCAGCCGGGCTTTAACCCTCAACTGATCAACCTCCCTCACTCCTACTTCCCCTCACCTGTCTTTATTGTTGTGTAATTTTCTATAGATCAGCGGGGTTCGGTACCATGAAAATATATTTGGATTTCATTTTACTTTTTATGTGGTGCAAAATAAACGTTTTTCGAAAGCAATTCATTGAATTCGCAGAAAAAAACCTTCGTGATGTTTAGCAGACAACGGGATACAGACTGTCATGGTGAATACAGTGTCTCTGGAGGAGCGTGAAGTGTTATTCAGTGCGTCACGTGACCATCAAATGATGTATTCCATTGCTAATGAGTTCCACATTAGGTGGAAATGTGGCAGAAATCGTCTCTCTCCTTAAGGTTTTCTACAATTCAGAAAGCTGTTCACTCCCTGCCT